ACAGCACATAACTACAACAACAAAGGAGGATTGGCCATCCATTTATGAAATAACAGGTCTTCAAAAACACAATGAGCAATAGAAGAACATCAAATATAGAGCCCTGAAAACAGACCCCTTGGATTGGAAGACAATAAAAAATAAGGATGAATAGCTGCAAACAACCATTAATAATTGGAATACTGACTATATAAAATATGAATTTAGGAAAATTGGAAGTTGCAAAAATGAAATGGAATGCATGAGTATCGACATTCTAGACATCAGTAAGCTAAGATGGAATGGCATCAGCCACTTTAAATCAGATAATTATCTACTACGCTGGAAATGGAAAATTGAGGAAAGAAGTGTCACATTTATAGTGAAAAGATCATTTTGATATCCATTGTGAAACAGGATATGGTGGGTGATATATGCTATCCATAGATATATAAAGAAGACCTATCAATACAACTATTATCCAAATATATGCACCAACAACTAAAGCCAAAGATGAGGAGACTGAGGATTTCTTCCAACTTTAGTAGTTTGAAATTAATCAAACTATCCATCAAGATTCTGGGTTTAGAAGGGGTCATGGTACTAGGGATATTGTAGCTAATGTTAGATGGATTCTGTGCTTGATTATGCAAAGGCATTTGACTGTGTGGATCATAACAAACTGTGGCTGACTCTGAGAAGAATGGGAATACCAGAACACTTGACTGTGCTAATGCGAAACCTATACTTGGACTAAGAGTCAGTCATCAGAACAGAGCAGGGTAACACTGCATGGTTCAAAATTGCGAAAGGCGTATGCCAGGGATGTGTCCTGTCTCCATACCTTATCAACCTGTATGCAGAACAGATTATCCGGGAGGTTGGGCTCTATGAGGAGAAATGCAGCATCAGGACTGGTGGAAGATTTATCAACAATCTGCATTACGTAGATGACACACCACTGCTTGCTGAAATTGAGGAGGACCTGAAGCGCTTGCTGCAGAGGGTCAAAGACTGCGGCCTTTAATATGGATTGAGGCTCAATGTCAAGAAGACAAAGATTCTCACCACTGGACCAATTGGCAGCATCAGGATGGATGGTGAAGAGATCGAGATTGTTCACAGCTTCAGTTTGCTTGGCTCCACAGCCAACACTCTTGGCACCAGCAGTCAGGAAATTAAAAGATGTATTGCGATGGGAAAGTCTGCTATTACGGACCTCTCCAAAGTACTGAAGAGCAATGGTGTCTCTCTGGAGACTAAGGTGTGTCTGATATAGGCCATGGTCTTTGCTATCACTTGTTATGTATCAGAGAGTTGGACAATGACTAAGGAGGATAGAAGGAGAACTGATGCCTTTGAGCTTTGGTGTTGGAGAAGAGTATTAAATGGAGATACCTGGACTGCTAAGAAAACAAACAGATTCATGCTGGAGAGCGTTAAACCGGGCTGCTCCTCGGAGGCAAGGATTCTGAGGCTTCATATGACTTACTCTGGTCATGTTCTAAGAAGAGACTGGTCCTTGGAGAAGGACATCATGTTTGGGAGGGTGGAGTGCAGGCGCAGGAGGGGAAGGCCCTCTAAGAGTTGGACTGATTCGGTGACTGGGGTAATTGGGATAGGTGTGTCGGAGACAGTGAGACTGGCCCAGGACAGAGCAGAGTTTACGGCTGTTGTATATAGGGTCGCTGTAAGTCGCATCAACAACAACATCCATCAAGATTATTATAAACAGGAATGCAAAAGCTGAGAACAAGGAAGGGCCGGTAGTTGAAAATTATAGACTTGGTGACAGAAATGAGGCTGGAGATGGAATAACTGAAGTTTGCGCAATCAATGATTTATTCACCACAAATACCTTTTATAAAAAAACTAATGGTGACAATATACATGGTACTTAACACATCTGTTCTCAGCATAATTCCAAATGCCAACCACTTATATTCTTATTTTCAAGATGAAGCCTTTAAGATTTATCCAGGCTAAGCAAATTGTTTGAGGCTCAATGTCAAGAAGACAAAGATTCTCACCACTGGACCAATTGGCAGCATCAGGATGGATGGTGAAGAGACTGAGATTGTACACAGCTTTAGTTTGCTTGGCTCCATAGTCAACAGTCTTGGCACCAGCAGCCAGGAAATTAAAAGGCGCATTGCCATGGGAAAGTCTGCTGTTAGGGACCTCTCCAAAGTGCTGAAGAGCAATGGTATCTCTTTGGAGACTAAGGTGCGTCTGATACAGGCCATGGTCTTCGCAATCACCTGTTATGCATCAGAGAGTTGGACAATGACCAAGGAGGATAAGAAGGAGAATTGATGCCTTTGAGCTGTGGTGCTGGAGAAGAGTATTGAGAATACCATGGACTGCTAGGAAAACAAACAGATTTGTCCTGGAAAGGGTTAAACCGGGTGGCTCCTTGGAGGCAAGGTTTCTGAGGCTCCGTCTAACATACTTTGGACATGTTGTGAGGAGAGACCAGTCCTTAGAGAGGGACATCATGTTTGGGAGGGTGGAGGGACGGCGCAGGAGAGGAAGGCCCTCTATGAGGTGGATTGATTCAGTGACTGGGATAATTGGGATGGGAGTGTCAGAGACAGTGCGATTGGCACAGGACAGAGCGGAGTTTAGGGCTGTTGTACATAGGGTCACTATGAGTCGCAGGCGACTCGATGGCACATAACAACAACAACAACACCAACAAGCAATTTGTGAGTAGTAGAGCCACAATTCAGCTTCGGACATTGTGACTGCAAGCTTGTGGACTTTAGCCATTACATAGGACTAGATAAGCCACAGAAGAAACCACTGCTACTCTGAAATTAGTTGATCAACAGTACAGTTACTAATGCTAACAAGATTCTTACCTGCTGGCCACCCTCTCTGCTTTTCCTCTAACACACTCTTCTTCAGTGTCAACAAAGAACCTGCTCTGGTCTGTTCTACAGAAACGACATCTGAAGCTGCACTCAGCACTTCAAACATAGAGAGGAATCCATACTGCATATACTGGAAGGATCGTCCAAATCGTTTAGCAAAAGCCTTATCAAAATCAGAAAGAAGAACTGGAGATAATGCCAAGAGATCTTTCAACTCACTCTTCACAACGGCTGGAAGAATAGGGGGTACTCTTCCTCGATAAGCAACTTGACCACGAGAGCTTGACCCGCGGCAAATGCTGGCCCTTCCCTTTGGCACTGGGTTTCGAACTTTGGGGTTGCTTCTCTGTTTTGCAACTAAACTTGCTATACCTTTGGTAGATTCATCTGGAATAGCTAAAGATATGGGAGAAAAGTTATATTTGGGTAAAAGACCTCTTCCTTAGTCCTGCTTAGACAAAGCATCTGTTAAATGCTTAGACATTTTGTAACTCTTAAGAGCTGTTTCTCTAGGAAGCACGCAGGCAGGAGCCCTTGGCTTCTCCATTTCTTGCATTTTTTTTTAATTTCTTGCATTTTAAGCAATTACTTGTTAATCATCATCAAGTACCATTACTGATAATTTACTCATGAAAACAGAAAAAGGTCTTTTTAAAACCTGAATATTGTTTCATGGAATTTAATACATGCTTTTAGCATTAGAAAAATCTCACTGCTGTATCTCTTTCAAGGTGTAATATACTCTGAAGAAATAATTTTTTGTGATACACATTTTCCTGGAAAATAGTGGGGTCTATGACACACCCTTCAACATCTCCCCCCCTTCAACACACACACACACACACACACACACACTTATAACCCACTACCTAGGACACCGGATTAAATACTAGAACTATTCTCTAGTGACTATTTTTATTACAAAGTGTAAAGATCATCAATATTTTAACCCTACCTTTGAGTATAACAGTACCATCCCCACAGGAGCAGACATTGACAACATCAGGTATGTCCAAAATCAGATCCATTGTGGACCGGTACCCAAGGATTCGGAGAGGTAGATGGTTGCCAACCATTAAAAGGTACTCCTTTTCCAACTGTTGTGGGGTTAAGCCATGTTTGGTGGAAATGAGGAGTGACCTTATTTCTTTTTTCAGGCATTCCTGTATTCTTGCCTGTTCAGACATTGTGTCCTACAGGGCTGAAGTCAGAAATATTATTCATGAGGAAAACCAGACAAGTCTAAAGTGAAAATTGCTTAAAACAATCAACAGTGGGATATCGACAACGTTAGTGCGAGTCATAAAAGTGGTAAGGCAGAAGAAATACTGTGAGGATGTTAAAAGACAAGCCCCCTACACTATGTAAACTATGAATCTCAACCTGCATTGATTGTTCTAGTTGATTAACCTACTGTGGGAGCCCAGCCATCAACTAGAATGAGAGGAGTGTGAATTCCTGCCCTGTCTCATTTTATCCTTTGCGTAAGTGGTAACTCAAGTTTGTTTGGGGTCTTATTTAACATGGTAAACGTGGAAACAGAACTCTTGTAGACTTGGTGGAACCAGAAATGGAAAATTAGGCAAATAAAGCTCCCACAGCATACTTCCTCTAACTCACAAAGATGATTACGGTTCTGCCTTCAACGACCTCACCTGCCCAAACCTTTCCTAAATGTGACCCCTTAACGACTCCATAACCAATGCCTGAACCTCATAGCTCCTTCCTTTCGGAAGCAGGACGATTTCCTTGCCTTGCCCAGGTTTACCGATTGAAAGAGGAAGGTAGAAATGGGTAGTGGGGCGCTTCTCTGCGGCTCGGCAGGGCCTGAATGTTCTTCCTGGGTCTCGTCCAGCGCCCGCGTGGCGGCGTGGCCGTTGTTCGCAGAGAGTAGATGGCGCCCTCCAAGAAAGCTGCAAAGAAACTGTAG